GCAATAGATTTGGGGCGGGTGGGATGTGTACGAACGGCAGGTTTTGGCGGTGAAAGAGGGGAGGGAAGAGAGCGGGGATCCCCCCCAGAATGTTGGGAGACCGCCCCCCTTCAACTGGGGATACCCAGGGGATTGAGAAGAACGATGGATTGGAGCCGGGGGCAGGGGGGGCGGTGGAAATGAGGCGCCGTTTTTTGGTTTGGAAAAGATGGAAGAAGGAGAGCGGAAATCACTCCCCCTCCCCAAATTTAGGAGACCCTTCCCCCATTTGGGATACCCCCGATCTTGGATTTGGGAGGGAGAAGGCAACGGCAGGGGGGTGGCAATGGACGAGGAGGGGGATGGTGCCAATTTTAGGTTTGGAAAAGAGGGGAAAAGGGGAGTGGGGACCCCCCACAAAAATTTGGGAGACCCCCTCGCAGTCGGGGAGAACCACGGTCTTGGCTTTGGGATGGGAAGGGAGAGGGATTTGGGCCTGGGGGGTGGGATCAGGCGCTGGTTTCGGGGGGCAGAAGGGGGGAGAATGAGAGTGGAGACCCCCTCCGAAAAATGTGGGAGAGCCCCCCAAAAATTTGGGATAACCCAGTGTTGGATTTGGAGGGCTGGGGGGCTGTGGATGAACCGTTTTGGGAGGAGGGGCAGAGAGTGGGGACCCCTCAAAAAACCTGGGAGTCCCCCCTCAGTATTGAACTTGGGGTGGGGAGTGAATTTTGGGGAAGGTTTCTGGGGCTCTATTGTTCTTTTGTGCCTCCTTCCCAAAATTAAAGGGGGAAGAGGAAAATGGGGGGACTGGGGGTAATTTGAGGGGCATAGGGTAATTTTGGGGGGCACTGGGTGACCTCTCCCTTTGTGATCCCCCCCCATCTGCTTCTCTCCATTTTTCCCCCCCCCAGATTTTTGGGGCTGAGTCTGGAACATCTGCGGGACCCCCCCAAGACCCACAAAGAGCAGGTGGGGGCAGAATTGGGGAGTACAGGGTGATTTGGGGGGGGCATAGAGGGATTTGGGGTCACACAGAAGAATTTGGGAGGACGCAAAGGGATTTTGCGGGGCACAGGGATATTTGAGGGGGCACAGAGGGATTTGGGATCATGTGGTGGAGTTTGAGGTTACACTGAGGGATTTGGGGGGACATGGCGAGATTTGGGGTGATACAAATTTTGGGGGGGAACAGATGGGTTGGGAGGCACAGAAGTTTTTGAGGGGATGAGACTTAGGGGGGATGAGACTTAAGGGATTTGGAATCACCCTGAAGGGTTTGGGGAGGTAACACAGAAGGATTTGGAGGGGGGGTACAGGGAAATTGAGGGCAGCAAAAAAGGAATTTTGGGTCATCCAGAGGGATTTGGGGTCACAAGAAGGATTTTAGAATCACACTGAGAAATTTGGGGGGCACAACAGGAACCAAGATGCAAACAATCCTTTGGAATTGTGGGTTGGAGGGGGTCCCAAGGGGTTTTGGGTGTGCTCAGGGCCCACCTTGATGCCGCAGCCCCCCTGGGAGTCCCCATGGAGCAGGACGAGCCAGACGTGGTGGAACTGCAGGACTCGGACGAGGGGGACGTGGTTCGGAGGGTCTTCATTGGTGAGGGGGGAACCCCAAAAGTGTGCGTGGGGGGCGATTGGGGGACTCCAGGTAACCCACAAAGGGGGTACACAAATTTTGGGGAGATCCAGACACTTTCAGGGGGACTGCAGACAAATTTGGGGGGCTTCAGGCACCCCAAGAAGGGGGTACAGGCAATCTGGGGGGATCCAGACATCCCTGGAGAGGTATATGAGCTCTTCTTGGGGGCTGCAGGCAAATTTGGGGGGGGCTCCAGATGCACCAAGAAAGGGCTAGGGGCATTTCGGAGGGGGTTCAAGGCACTTTTGGGGGTCTCCAGACACCACTGGAAGGGGATAGAGACATTTGATGGGGGCTCAAAACACTTTTAAGGGGGTTTCAGACCCCCCAAGAAAGGGGGGAGTCCAGACACTCCAGGAGGGGGCACAGTCCCTTTTTGGAGTACAGTGAACATTCGGGGTGGGGTCCAGCCCCTTTCTGGGGTGCACTGGACACCAGGAAGGGCCACAGCCCCATTTTGTGCCCCCTCTTGGGTCACAACAAATGTTTGGGTCAGGAGTCCAGCCACTTTTTGGGGTTCAATGACCATTTGAGGAGGGGGTCCATTTCCTTTTTGGGTGCAGTGAACATTTGGGTCAGGGGTCCCAGCCCCTTTTTAGGATCCAGTTAATATTTGGGAATGGAAACCGGCTCCTTTTGGATCACAACGAATATTTGGGTCAGGGGTCCAACCCCTTTCTGGGCCTCAATAGATATTTGGGGAGAAGGCCCAGCCTCTTTTTGGGGCACAACAAACATTTGGGGAGGAGGCCCCGCCCCTTCTGTGCACTCACCCCCTCCCCGTGCCCCTGCTAGCTGACGACGGCATCGTGAGCGACGGTGAGGCCGAGGTGCTGCCGCACGAGATCATCCGCACGGTGATCCCGCACAGCCCCCTGCGTCCCCCGCCACCCCGCGG